TCAATGATTCAGTCTTTTAAAAATAGACTAATCCATAGTTTGGTGCCAAAAACACATATTACAAAGTCTACCTGCGATATCGGATGCGCCAGGTCTGGTGTAAACGGGCCATTGACATGGGGCTCTAAAGTGTTTAGATCGATCTCGATTAGCTGATCATAAACACACTTCGGATCTGGAGAAAGCAAAGAGACCTAAATAAAAATAAAAATCCAGAAAAAAAGTAAATTTCATAAGATTGCACTAAAAATATAGAATCGTCTCAAATATAAGCTTTAGGAAAAAAGTACCTTGACTTTATTGGCCGCATCTGCAATAGATGAGCGGCCCGTTGCTCGGAGAAAGTCGACCATGCGGTCGTTGAAGGGGAACACGGAAGTAGTAGCTCCAATTTCGGCTCCCATGTTGCAGATGGTCGCCATGCCAGTACAGGAAATCGATTCGACTCCAGGACCAAAATATTCCACTATCGCGCCAGTACCTCCTTTTACAGTTAGGATATCTGCAACCTTTTTGACGGGAGTGGAATAGAAAATATATCAAATGAATAAACTTAGTAAGTAATATAAAGCAGCAATAAGTTAGGACTCGCTTCACCTTAATTCTAAACCATAACAAGACTTTATAGCAGATTGATTTATTATATGATGCTGAAGACTGATAGACATAAAATGCAACACATCAGGAGAAGTCCTTAAGTGCCTTCTGATGTAAGTTGCTTGAGGATTGACTCTTAGATTTTTCTATCGAAAAATGAGAATATATTACTAACAGTTTCAAGTAAAAGTAAATTAAGTGGGTTTACCTCGTTTACGCAGCTTGGCCTTGTTCTAAGGGGGACTTAGTTGAACGCCCCTTATTCGAAATCCTCTGCATCCAGCACCAGACCATGAACTTGGTACATTCTCAGACGTTTCGCCGGCATCATCAGTGAGTCTTGCCAAAGGACTTGTCTCTGTGACGAGTTGCAGCTTGATGCGAAGTCTTGTCATTCTCCACACCAAGCTACAACTCGTCAGAGACAAGTCTATCGGCAAGACCCATTTACGATGCCGACGAAACATCTAAGAATGTACCAAGTCCACGGTCTGGTGCTGGGAATTATGAAAATTA